ATACCTACTTCAAAAATTTTTACTTAATGAATACCTACTTTGAACTCTTTACTCACAAAGGATAGAAAACATCCCATGGAAATGGAAAGATTCCTAGATACATATGAATTACCAAAGCTGAATCAAGAAGATATAAAAATTCTGAATAACCCAATATCAATTAATGAAATTGAAAATGTAATTAAAAACCTACCAACAAGAAAAAAAAAACCAGGTCTTGTTGGATATACTGCTGAATTCTACATAAATTTAGACGAGATTTAATGCCAATACTCCTCAGACTCTTTAATGAAGTTGAAATGTAAGCAATACTCCCAAATTTATTCCTGGAAGCAAGTGTTACCTTGACACCAAAACCAGAAAAAGACCCAACCAAAAAAGAGAACTCCAGGCCAATCTCCCTACTGAATATAGATGCAAAAATCCTCAATAAAATACTGGCAAGCAGGATACAACAAATCATCAAGAAGATTATACACCATGACCAATTGAGATTCATCCAGGAATGCAGTGATAGTTCAACCTAGCAAATCAATAAATGTAATATACCATATCAACAAGCCAAAGACAAAAAATCACATGATCATCTCAAAAGATGCAGAAAAAGCTTTTGATAAAGTCCAACACCCATTCATGATTTTAAAAAACTACAGAAAATTGGAATGGAAGGTCTTTATCATTTAATAAAAGCTATCTATGACAAACCAATAGCCAATATCATAGTAAATGAACAAAAACTGAAAGCTATCACTCTAAAATCAGGAACAAGACAAGAATGTCCACTATCACCACTCTTATTCAAAATAGTTATGGAAACATTAGCCAGAGCAATTAGACAAGAGAAAGAAATAAAAGGAATAAAGATCAGAAATGAAAAAGTTAAATATTCATTATTCACAAATGATATGATACTATATACAGAAGACCCCAAAAACTCCACCAAAGAACTTCTAGATTTAGTCAGCAAATTCAGTAGCATAGCTGGATACAAAGTTAACACTCCAAAATCAATAGCACTCCTGTACATAAACAACAAACTCACTGAGACAGAAATTAGGGAAACAACACGCTTCACAATAGCATACAAAAAATGAAATACTTGTGAGTCAATCTAACAAAGAAAATAAAAGAGCTGCATGTTGAAAATTACAGTATTCTGAAAAAGATTGAAAAGGTTATCAGAAAATGGAAAGATATCCCTTGCTCATGGATAGGAAGAATCAACATTGTGAAAATGGCCATACTCCTGAAACTGTCTTACAGATTTAATGTAATCTTGATCAAAATGCCAATAACATTCTTCACAGAACTAGAGAAAACATTCCTAAAATTCATTTGGAAACAGAAGAGACCTAGAATAGCAAAGGCAATCCTGGGAAACAAAGACAAGGCAGGAGGTATCACAATCCCTGACTTGAAATTATACTACAAAGTTACTGTGATAAAGTCTGCATAGTACTGGCAAAAAGCAGACCTGAGGATCAATGGAATAGATTAGAAGATGCAGACACAACTCCAAACCCACTCAACCACTGATCTTTGACAAAGGGGCCAAACATGTTCACCAGAAGAAAGATAGCCTCTTTAATAAATGGTGTTGAAAAGACTGGCTCTCTACATACTAAAGATGAAAACTAGACCCATGTCTATGACCATGCACTAAATTAAAGACAAAATGGATCAAAGATTTAAATATTAAAACAGAAGCATTAAATCTACTGGAAGAGAAAGTGGATAGAAATCTTGAACACACAGGTGTAGGCAAAGAGTTCATGAACAAAACCTAAACTGCACAGGAAATACTTCAAAGAATCAACAACTGGGATCTCATCTTATTAAAAGGCTTTTACACATCAAAAGAAATCCCAATAGAGTGAAAAGACAATGCATTTAGTGGGAAAAATTTTAGCTAATTGTCCCTCAGGCAAAAGGCTTTTATTTAAATCATATAAAGCATTGAAAAAAATTAGACCTCTCAAATTCAAAGACCCAATCCAAAAATGGGCTTCTGAGATGAATACATATTTCTTAGATGCAGAAATACAAATAGCAAGTAAATATATGAAAAAATGTTCAACCTCATTGATCATTCAAGAGATGTAAATTAAAACAATGCTGAAATTCCATCTCACCTCAGAAAGAATGCTATCATCAAGAAATCAACCCATAACAAATGCTGGAGGGGCTGTGGGGGAAAGGAACTCTTCTTCACTATTGGTTGGGAGTGCAGACTGGTGCAACCACTATGAAAATCAGTATGGAGAATCCTCAGAAAGCTAGGATTAGAGGTCCCATTCAACCCAGCTTTCTTCCATCTGGGGATCTTCCCAGAAGAATTAAAAACTTCATACCACAGTGACGGATGTGCACCCATGTTTATAGCAACACAATTTGTAATAGCTAAATCTTGGAAACAATCCAAATGCCCAACAACTGAGGAACAAATAAAGAAGATGTGATATTTTTATACTACTGGAATACTACTCAGTCATAAAGAAGGATAAATTGAGAATTTTATAGGTAAATGGATGCAACTTGAGACCATAGTCAGAAGTGAAATAAATCAGACTCACATGTGTAAACATCATATTTTCTTCCTGGTGTGAGAAACTGAAAGAGTAAATAAGGTCTAGAATAAGATTTAGATATTGTAAAATGAGAAGTATTTCCTTAAAAGAAAAAAGGAGCTAGGAGAGGGGGTGGGAAAAGAAGGGAAAAGGGAGAAAAAAAGGTAGCTATACTCTTAGTGTCTCTTAGTTCATTGAAAAGGAAGGTTTAAACTAGTATCAATTGGATAATTTTTATGCCCATATCTTACATACTTTGAGTAACTACTTTGAAGATAACAATATGCTATGTATTAACTATTGTTATTGTCTTATTATTTTGTTATGAAACTCTGTTTTACCTTCCTTTAATTAAAAACACATTTCTTTCACTAACAATAAAGGGGAAGCTGGGTGTGATGGTGCATGTCTGCAATCCCAGCACTAGGGAGGCTGAGGCAGGAGGATTGCTGTGAGTTCAAGGCCTAGCCGAACTACATAGTTCAAAGTCAGCCTGAACTACATAGTGAGACTCTGTCTCAAAAAAACAAAAGGAAAAAGAAAAAGAATAAAGAGGAGGTTGTGCGTGTACCACAAGAAGGTGTGAGTGGCCGTGGTTGCCTAAATGTTGCGAGAATCTCCTGTGGCCTCCATATTTTCTGTGAAATGGGAGACTTCAGCTCACAAGACCCTGACAAGCCTTTTGTCAGCCAAGCACAGCTGGAGAAATGGAGGAGAGGTGTGTCAGGGGCTGAGGGGCAGGCGAAGGCTGGACTACAGCATCTGACGCAGAAGAAAAGGGAAAGACTGGGGTGGGGCAGGGCACAGCTTAGGGGTTGAAGAGGCCACCGCAAGGGCAGGAGAGGTTCAGAGCCCAAAGAGCGCATGCCCCGCGGCAGAGCGAAGGAGGGCAGACGTAATGTGTCTCGTGCTGACTTAGCTCCTTCATGAGGGCGACCCCACTACTAAGGGGGCAACAGCTTCCTCTCCACAGCGAGACGTGCCGTGGGGGTTCCTTTCTTATCCCCACGCTCCTGGGATTTAGGCCTTCTATTATGCTGTTAGGAAAGTGAGCCTGGTGACTAGTTTCTTCCAGTTCTCTGTGCTTTGTCAGAGTCTGCTTTCCAGACTTCAAGGAGCGGAAATAGAGCCTTGAGCCGGGTCGAAAAGCCAGAGTTTAATATGTAAGTAACAAAGCACGGCCCATGTTCTTTACACTATCTCGTAGCCACGTCATATCTGACAGTCTTTCTGGAAGCACTTTGACCCCAGTAATCCCTTCCCTGGGAACTAACACGTCCAGTCGGGTTCTTCCCACGCTTGTCCCACCCGCGTGATAAAGAAGAGGGAAAGTGCTTGCAGATGTCCCTGAAGCACACGCCTAATTCTGAGGGAGGGAAGCCAAACAGGCAGCAGTACGTCAGTGTGGTGAAAAGTCCATGCTACTACCTAAATGATAGTCACCGGGAAGACGTGCAGGATGTAGAAAATGCTTATATTCTAAGGGGAAAGCCCAGAATACGATCCTTGAAACTGCGTGATGATTACAGGAATTCAGGAGATAAATATGACGACGGTCAATGACTTTAAAGGAACAAGAATAAAGGAAACTCTTGCTTTTTATGTTTATAGGGTTATTTAATTGTAATTATAATTTTTTGTTATAATGTTATTCATCAAAAATATAAATAAATAAAAAGCACCCCCATAGACTGTTGGACCTGTTGACAAAGTAACAGAAACAAAGCAAAGACTACCTTCCTGTAATCCTCTTGCTCTGCTAATAAAAAGAGCTTTGTCACGTTCAGGTCTGAGATGAGCTCTTTTTTCCAAATCCCAAACTTTAAACCTATTATTAAACAGCACTGAGTTTCCATGTAATATGTTGACAATCCCCAAAGTACACTGGATTAAAATTTTCCATTTAATAAGGGGATTTGAAATTCTATTCCAGTTGCCAGCCCAAGTCGTTCAACTTCTAAAACCAAAAGAAAAGAAAATGAAAAAGCATAGTGGGCCCCACCAGCCTCTCTGGCTACTACTAATCTCTTTTTTCATCGCCCTGGGTTCTCCCCAGACTCCTTTCCGTCCGTCCCGCCACTGTCCCTCAGAACACACTCACACCACGGTCAACAGGGACTGTTCTTTCTAATGGACAAAGTCTTGTTTTTAACTGGAAACTCCCATCACTACTGACACTGCCAGCCCGGCTACTTCTCCGGCCCAGGGCCACCACAGGACTGCCTGTCACTCTTCTCCTAGCCCTTCCTCCTCACTGATGCAGTATCAGCGCCCCTCGGTCTGACCCAGTGGTTTCCACCAAGAAACCCCGGACCTGCTAAGCACGGCCAGCCCTATCCCTGTGTCCTTCCCTAAGCAGGACACAGTCACACGTCATGGATGTATCCAGGAGCTCACTGCACGTGTTCAGTGGCAGCAATAGGCCTCCTAAAGGGGTGAAAATTGCTTCTTAGAGGACAAATCCTTACTCTTTAAAAAGCAAGTATATGTACAAACATAGACACAAATATATATGTGGGTGTGTGTATACAAACAACAATATCTAATTATATCTGGTTAAAATAGAAATTTCATGGGAGGCTGGGCTAGTCGGCTTTCTGTTGCTATGCCAAAACACCGGAGAGAATCAGCTTATAAGGAGGGCAATTTATTTTGGCTCATGCTCTCAGAAATTCTGGCCCAGGCTGCTTTGAATCCATGGTTTTGGGTGGAATGTCATGGTGAGGAGTGTGTGGAGGCACAGACCTGCTCACTTCCTGGTGTCAGGAAAGCAAAGAGAAAGAAGAGCTGGGGAGAAGTCCCTGGATCACCACTGATGGCCCACTTCAGGGAGTCCCACTTCCTTCTTCCAGGCCTCACCCCCTTAAGATCACACTACTATCCAGCAGCACCACGGGCTGGCGGCCAAACCTGCAGCACAAGGCCTGGGACACGTTTATGATCCAAGTTATAAAAGAGGCTCGCTCTGCCTCCCTGCCACCAGGAACTACGCAGCTTTGCTCCATCACGCAGTCTGCCATGGAGCCAATGAAACATGGGTTGGCTTACCTTACAGTATGAGCCAACTTAAGGTGGATGGACTACTAGTTACATCATACTAATCAGTTCTAGGGGTTCAGAATACAGCTATGAATTAAAATAGACCAAGATGCCTGCCCTCATGTCATGGAAGAAATAAACAAATATGTAAAACTCTACAGTTTTTCAGATGATGATAATTGCTATGCAGAAAAAAAAAAAAAAAGCAAGAAAGGGGCTGAGAAGCAGGGGTATCCAGGCAGGGGTACCACTTCAAATATGGCAGCTTAAAAGTCCAAGGATAGTGACATGGAAATAAAAACAGCAAGGAACAAAGAAGCAAAGACAGTAGCAGAATATCCAGGCAGAGGGACAAGTAAGCACAATGTCCCTGAGGCAGGAGTGTGCCCAAGGGATTTGAAGTGGAGCAAGGGAGCCAGGGCTGGAGCACAGGGAGCCAGGAGCTGGGGAGAAGGTGAAGTCAGAGTCTGGCGGGGGCTCTGGCTATATACGGTCTTGCAGGCCTTGCAACGATGTGGCTTGTACCCTAGCCAAGACAGGAATACACTGGAGGAGACTGATAAAAACCAGTACATTTTTCAAAGATCTTTCTGGCTTCCAGATTAAAAGCATTTTGTAGGAAGTAAGGGTAGGGGTAGCGTGACCAGTTAGGAAGCCCTGGAAGCCATCCAAGCAAGAGATGGCTGTGGCTTGGGTCGGGGTGGACCAGTGAAATGGTGAGAAGCAGTCAGATTTTGAAGGTAGGGCCACAAGGTTTTCCTGAAAAGTGACAGAAAGAGAAAGGGCAAGGACAACAGAAGGCAAGGAAGGGTGGAAAGGTGGCCAGCACCTGAGATGAATCCTCCTGATCTGAGAGAAAAATAAAATCAGTCCTGTTTTCAGACAAGGGAATAAAGGTTTCAAGAGGTGACAGAAAGGCATTGGGGTGTAAGCTGTCTAATTTCAAATCTGGGCCCTTTTCCAAGCTGCCCCATTGAACACCCTCATTTTACAGACAGGAAAATGCTCAAAGTCACAGGGAACTAGAACTCAGGGGTGCCGGGCTTTTGCCTCAGTGTTCCCTTTATTTCAGTAAGCCCATCAGGGCTGGAGATTTAGCTCAGCGGCAAAGCGCCTGCCTAGCAAGCGCAAGTCGTGAGTTCGGTTCCCGGTACCGGAAGAAAAACAAACAAACAATCAATAAGCCCATCATTCTGTGACAAACGGTCACTTTTGCTGAAGCTCTCCCTCAAGTTGAGAAGACTACTCATTCTAGGACTTGTTCTTCCTACTATTTTTGGCTTAATTCTATTAAGGTATAATTTAGGGACAAAAAAATCTCACCCCTTTAAAAATGTAAGTATGAATTTTGACTAATGCATACTGGCATGTATTAAGTAACACAATCAAAATACAGAATGCCCCTTCGTAGCTCATACCTTCTCCTACCTCAAGCCCTGGGTCACCACTGCTTTTTTTCTGTCCTTGTCATTTTGCTTTTTTCAGAATGCCGTGTATATGCAGTCACACGACATGCAGCCACTTGTGTCCGGTTTCTTTGTTGGCATGATGCCTGTGTTAGAGTGGGTAGTAGTAGTCACTTACCTTTTACTGTAGAGTAGTATTCTATTATATGAATCCACCATAGCCTAGTTATCCTTTCACCCTTGGATGGATATTAAGTTGTTTCCAGTTTTTGATAAATAGGAAAAAAGCCACCGTAGACACTGGCATACAGATTTGTGTGTAGACATATGCTTTTCAGTTCTTTCAGGTAAAATCCTGGGAATAGGATTCTTGGCTTATATGCTCAGTCTGTGTTCAGATTTTTAAGTCCTGGAAAAACTGGATGTTCATGTGCAAAAAGAAAAAAATTGACCTTACCCCGAAATTGTACTATATATAAAAATAACTCAAAATAGATCACAGATTTAAATGTATACCTAAAACTAAAAACTTCAAAAAGAGAAACACAGAAAATACTTGTGACTTGCATTAGTCAAAGCCTTCTTAGATTTAACATCTAAAACATAATACATAAAAGAAGAAAAATTGATAGACTAGACTTCGTAAAAATAATAACTGCTCTTCAAAGGATACCAATAAGGGAATGAGAAGACATGTCACAGACTTGGAGAAAATATCTGTGGATCTCTTATCTGATAAAGGGCTTATATCCAGCATGCATAAATATTTCTCAAGGCTCAGTAGTAACAAACAACCCAATAAAACTGCACAAGAGATATGAACAAACATTACCAGAAATGATAAATGTAATGCAAATAAACTCACAAAAGATGCTTAACCTCATTAGTTATTTAGGAAATGAAAATTAAAACTACAGTGAAATAAGCTACATGCTCATTAAGTGGTTACAATTTTTTAAAGCCTGCCAAGTGCTGACAATACTATGGGGCAGTTGGGACTTTCCTACGTTGCTGGGGGGCAGGTGAAATGGTTCATCCTCTGTGGGAAGCAGGTGGCCTATTCTTGCAAAGGTGCACACATAGGAGCTGGGGTCAGGGATGGGATACAGAGCGGAGGGTCGGAGAGGTGATGTTGTTTTTTATCTTGACTATGGTGATGGCTGCACAATTATATGCATTTACCATTCATCAAAACTTGCAGAACTGAAAAGGGTGAATATTTTGCTGTGCTAATTTATTTTATTTTATTTTAATCCTAAAAATGTTGTGGGAGTAAAAACAAAGCCATCAACACCGTGGTGTGAGTTTAGGCAAGTCACTTAACTTCTCTGTGTCTTGGTTTCTCAAACCTCTGTTCATCAAAGATAAAATACTTTCCCTCGCGTTGTAGTAACAATTGAATGTGTTCTATTCATTATGCAATATATGTAAAATGCCCTGAACATAGCAAGTGCTATTCGATTATTGGCTATCAGTTCATTCTTATTATTTGTATATTGTCCTTTGAAGATGTTTGGTGATAAAGGAGAGAGAGGCAACTAGAGGTGTAGGAAGTTTAAGAATAAGGTGATCTCAACACATTGCCCCATAGAGAGGAGGAAATCAGCGATGAAGGGAAAGAGGGAGCTACAGTATCTGTGAACACAGACACTAATGCGATGCTCCGAAGGTGGCATCAACTCCAGTTTAGGTAAATAACTTCCTTTTACTTGTCAACAACAAATCAAGTAAATTTCGGAGGTCAGAATTGTCAGCTCTTCCACAGATCAAAATGTTCAAATCCTTTCTCTGGGTTGTAATACCAACACCTAAAAGAACAGAAAGACAAAACAAATCTATCTCCTGGGGACACAATGTCCAAGATCATTAAAGGGTCACCCCCCAATATTTAGTTGAATGACCTGCTCTCTGCTCCAACCAGCGACAAGACCTGATAGTGCTGGTCAGGAGGCTGAGGGTTTTTATCAGTATTCTGGCAGATCATTACAGACACAGGGATTTTTTATTAAAAAAGAAGACGAACACTGACAGAATATAACATGCAGGGCTTAGTGCCCTTCTGGGCGACTTTCTCACAAGAGGAGGAATTTTAAAAGCTTTCACAAGAATTAAAATACTCCACATGACAATTTATTTTTGCTTCTGGCTTTTCTTTCCAGGAGGCTAATCAGTACAACTTCTGTCTGCATTTGTTTCAATTCAGTAGCTATTTTCACTTTGCAGAAGGGTTTAAGCTAGCCTCCCTGGTGGGGACTGACTGCTTTTTACGCTGGGGATATGGATACGAACAGGTTTCTGTAACTGGTGGTAAAAAATGAGCCAATAGCAGGACAAATGTGAGACCAAGTGTGAGAACAGCCGTCTGGGCTGGTTGAACTCTCTCAGCAGTTGGGAACTCTAGAGGGCCGGCTATCGTAGCATAAGACGGGCTACATGTGCAGAAGTACAAGACTGTCGGACCCCAGGACAACAGGACAGGGTGCAGCATTGCAATCCCTGGCAACAGGGCAACAGGGGCTCCGCATCTGAATTCCAACTTACACAGAGCCCTCCTCCATCGCCCAGAGTCGAGGAATTTTCTTATTTCATCTTTATCCATTCATCCATCTAATTCATAACAGGTAAGGACTTTAGAAACACCCCCACAGTACCATGAACATAATCAACAAAATAAATAATAGTTACAAAATATCATCTAATGGCCGGCTCATGTTCAGTTTTCCCTGATTTTTCTCAGAGTCATATATATATATATATATATATATATGACAAGTCATAGTTTGTAGCCACAAACAATTTGTTAATATGTCCCTTGAGCTTCTTTCAATACATAACAATCACAGGAATTTGTTATATCTTTATTTATCCTTTAATTATTAAAAAAAGTTAATTGTGCGTGTAGCAAGGTAGAACCTTTTATTCCCCAAACAGCATGAAAACGTTAGACAGTGAAATGTTCCTCAGTCTCTTTCCACATAAGCAGTATTACCTGCTTCATGTGTAGCCAGTCTCAGCCATGACTCCATGCTGCTCCCTGAGGCTGCTGTAACAAGGCGGGTGAGAGTGACGGTATGAGTTCAAATCCCTGCTCTGCCGCTTAGTGTAAATCTTGGGCATAGTTGGTAGTCTCTGTGTTTCATTTTTAATAACAGTACCTATCTGGTTGGATCATTGAGAGAAATCAGTGCTTAAATAATTATTTGTTGATACTTTCTTTGACTTTTCTTCAAATTGTAGAATGACACATATTTGTTTGGCTTGTTTTCTCGTTTAAAATGTGAAGTGTTTGATGATAATTCCACATTTGTTCTTATAGATTTGTTTCATTCTTTATAAGCATTGACTAAAATTCCATTGTATGGATTTACTATTGCTAGACACACAGATTTTCAAACTCTTGTTATTACCAAAAACGCTGAGATGAATATCTTTGTAGCACTTTATGGGTTCATATGTAAAAATGTCCGCAGGGTAGACTCCTGCAAGTGGAACTGCTGAGCTAAAGAGATGCACATTTTACTGCTTCGCAGGTAGTGCTGAGCTACCTGAAGGAGGTTGTGTAGTTTCCATCCCCAAGAAAAAGTTACCAGGATTCCCTTTCTCTCCACCTCACCCAACACAGGCTATTTGGTTTGAGTTTTTTAACATGGTTGTGGAAAGTGGTATTTCACAGATTTTTGTTTTTGTTCTCATTTTTGTTTTTGAGACAGAGTCCCGCTATGCGGTTCAGGCTGGCCTTGAGCTCACTTTGTAGCCCAGGATGGCCTCAAACTTGCAAGGATCCTCCTGCCACAGCCTCCTGAGCGCTAGGGTTACAGGCGTGCACCGCCGTGCCCTTTTTTTTTTTAATTTCACAGTTTTAATGTGCATTTCTCAGCAGTGCATTTCCGCTATTATGAAGAGATGCAGAGAACATAGTGCACATGAATGTCAGGGAGTCAAAAGACCTAGTGACTCGAGGGGCTGAGGGAAAAGTTCTACCTCATAAAGGGAAAGCAATGTGTGTTTAAAAGGGGAAAGGCATTGATAACTACCAGCTTCAGAGATAAGCAACCACATTTATTTGTTTACTTGCCAACTATCTATTCTCATTAAATAATAATTTCTCTGAGGGGACAGGGCCCTTTCCTATCTTGTTTTATAATCCATGTCTATCAACTAGAACAATGCCTGGTGCGTAGTAAGTGCTTAGTAAATAAATTCAGCACTTGATATATGTTTGAAAACTAAAATAGACTGAATTAAACTTCCTGAGACTGGCCCTGCCTGTTTTGCTGACAGCAGGCACGCTGATGCCTCACCGGATAAGAGAAACCTCACATTTATAAAGTATTTCATTTCCTCAGCAGACAAGAAAAACTGGCCCTGAACACAAAATCTAGAAATAGATTTGGCATGTTTTCTAAATGGAAAATATTTTTTGTAGCACCAAAAATTATTTTCCCATAGCTTTATGCTACATCAAAATATTGAAGTTGTCTGAAAATGCCCCATTCTTTAATTTTGGTATGGGCTAGAAACCATGTTTTCTAACAAAGGAAATATATAAAAACCTTTGTTTAAAGCCCCCTAGATATCCCCGAACTTAAGATAGATTTTTAAAAATATGGTTGGAAGGAAATGTCATTAAGTTTTGTCATTAAAATGTACAGTTTTGAGTTACAAAGCCAGCGCTTACTTATTTAAGCAACTGCATACGATTAAGGGCAGAAAAAATGTCTCTCAAATCTCCTCTTTGTCAGTTTTTACTGGCGACTCCATAAAATGATTCTACACTTTAAATCTTTTTGCAAACTCCATGTAAATTAGTAAGTGAGAATGTATTCACCAAAGGATTTTTTGAACCAAAAAAAAGGGGGATGTAACTTTTAAAATTATACTCGCAGACTACTGATAATGAAGTTCTTCTCATCCTTGGTTTACCCTCAGTTTTCCCAGACTTGCTCAAAGCAATTCCAGTGAGCATCCACGTCAACGTCATTCTCTTCTCCACGGTCCTTGTTGTTCTAACCATGGCGGGAGCAGCCTTCTTCATGTACAATGCTTTTGGCAAACCCTTTGAAGCCCTGCACGGTCCCCTGGGGTTGTATCTTTTGAGTTTCATCTCAGGTAAGTACAAAATTCTACCTCTGAATACAAGTGTGCTTTTCAATGTGTCAAAAGATGGTATGCCTAATATAAATTTATAATGTATATACATGCGTGTTCACTATCATTATATGTGGTAGAAAAGTGAAGAAATAATAGTTTTGAAGATATGATAAAGAAGGATAAATGCTTGCATCAAAACATCGAAGAAGCAGTCAGATTTTAATAAACATTGTGAACACAATTTGACTATATATAAATAAAAAGAATATAATATATGATGAACATATTTTATATATAGTCTTTATTATCTACAAACATATGGAGAGAGTTTATTTGCTGTGGTTATGTGTGCCCAGTAAAAGCACAAGTAATTTTTATTTTTGCTCATATGTTCAAATGTTCAATCTTATCCTTTTATTTATTTATAATCAGAAAAATAAATAAATGGCTTCAAAAAAGTGCAAAAATCAATATTCCACCCACATGACTTGCCATATTCAGGCCTGCGGGTGCTCTGTGTAGCATAATACTAGCTTAATCTGTCAAGAATAAATTCTAAATCTAGAAATTAGCTCATTGATAAACATGTGCTACTCAATAACCAGGGCTGATGGGAAAGAATTTAAAATCCAGTTGGTGCTACAGGGTGCTTACAATGTATGTGCAAGAAGCAGATGGATAAAGATGAAGAATGAAAAGTATATACACAATTTATGTAGAGCTATGCTTCTATGGAAGGTCTCTCCCCAAACTTGCAAAGTGATTCACTACTTTGTCAAACCCTTAAGGAGCAAGTAATTTTATTGATGATTTCACAGAGCGATGGAGATTATATCTCACACCAGCAAATATTTTAATGAAAATTCCTGGCCAGTGTTCCAAGGAAGCCTTGAAGTTGCCCTTTGACTGCCAGCCACCCAGAGTCGAGCACGAAGCCCCTTCTTTCTCTTGGCACTACTGCCTTCTTCCGTAAAGCCAACTCCAGGCACAAATTTGCATAAATCCCTCCTTATAAAACGAAGCCCTGTGTGTAGCAGGGCTAACTATTTCAGGAGACAGCACACCCTCTACTTGTTACTCACATGTCCTTCTTAGGGGCTTGCCCCTTCCACATCTTGCTGACACAATTATTTAACCAACTAAAGCAGATCTCTCTCTCTCTCAGTAGGGATTTGGCTGGTATTTTTCCATATTTTCATAAGCATATAATACAGCTTTCAATGACACAGGTAATCATTACTACTGTGTGAGGACAGTCTATGCCTTCCTCATCTTTGTATACCTGGCCAAAGATACATGAAGCTCGGCACACAGTAAACATTTGTTGACTTGGAGAAGTAAGCCCAGGAAAAAAAGCTGTTACCTATACAATACAAGGTAGAGAGGTCAGAATTCAAATAGGATGAAATTAGCAGGGCCAGTCCATAGAGGCTACAGACACGACTTGGAGAGGAATAGGACAGAACATGGGAAAGGAAGGCCCGGGGCTTTGCCAGGGCAGCAGAGGTACAGATGCAGGTTATAGACTGACAGACCAAGACAGTAATTCAACCTTGTGTGCAGGCCCATGTTAGAGAGTATTGGGATTACGTCCTCCCACCAAACATCTCAAAACTAACTGGTGGATCCAGGAGGTGTGCTGTTTCAGTGATGAGCATTGTATTAGCCAGCGTCCAGCTACAAAACTGTATTTCAACAGAGGAATACGCCATGGGTAGTGGCTCTCCAGGTTGGGGTACTTGAATGAGCAGTATCTGCAGGGTCTGGGAATCTGGTAGCCAAACAAATATCTGAGATTGTAGCTCAGACTGAGTGAGTGAGAACCCCTGGAGTCAAGCCCATTTTAACACACTCTTCTAGGATTCTGGCTCAAGGTGAAGTCTGAGTTACCAGGAAGTGACTTAACAGGGTCTGAGGACTAAGGAGCTAACTCAAAGGTGGTAGCTTTGGAAGGCAGCTACCCTCCCTGGGGCCTGGGGAACAAAGACTTGGATTTATTAGAAGCTAGGAGTTGAGGAGAGGCTCAAGGCACTGGGTCTCGGATCTTGAGGTGCTGGCACAATACCTCTGCAGCACACTGTCAGAGTTTCCTGTGAGTGTGGAAAAGATTTTGAAAACCTCCAGCTCTGCCTCCAGGGAGAAGGCTACTCCTGCTGTGGCAATGCTGGCAGGAATCACAAGCAAAGTGGACGTAGTGGGCCCTCTGCTGTCCTATCACTTCTCTCCCCTTGGTGCTCACACTTCGCAGAGCCTAACAGGAAGTAGCTGATAGGGCAGAGCAGCTGGGGAGTCTTGACCCAGTGTCTCAGTGCAGAGAAAAGAGAAGCTGATTTGAGCTGAGACACCATGGCTTGTTCATCGGCACAGCCACCCAGTGCTCCAGCTTCTGAGTGAAATTCAGAAGAACAGCCCGATGGATCACAAGTTATTTGACAGCTCTGATGGACAACTAAACTAACGGTATTCAAAAAGCAAAGGGAGACAACAGAGGGTCAAATTTAGTTCAAGACTCCAATCTTATCTCAGCTTTTGGCCAAATCTAATGCAAGGAGGACCTGGGCACACACATCTGTGGAGGAACAATTAAGTTACTCATGTTGGACGTAAGAAAGTAAGAGCAGGTACTTGATACACTATTGTGAATCCGTGAAGGGAGACAAAGGGAGAAAGCAAAGGAAGGGGCCACCTGCAAATCTGGGTCTTGCAGAGGATAAAAGCCTAGTGTTTGCAGATCATGAAGTGTTTGTTTCTAAGCCTTTGACCTTTATTTCCAAGTACCAAAATTTTCAATATTTTTTTAAAACTGTCGGAAAACAAAACGTGTTCAAGGGTCAGACAGACTGACAGTCTGTGACTCCTAGGTATAAACAGATCACTTGTACAACACAGACCACCTCACCCCCCTTAAATCCACATATGGCGCTCAGGAGCCCTGCAGTTTAGCAAAGGTTTATGCAAAGTTGTAATATTCATACCTTCCCAGCTCTGCACCCTGACTGCATAAGGTAGGGCTCCTCAGCTCTGATCCGAACTCTCTAAATGTGAGCTGATGCATCACACACCGGAAGCCCAAGACTGTGTCAGGGTCCTTTCCCCCGGGTGTGATTGCTTCTCATCCGGGGACTCCAGGGCCAGCTCTCGTCCATGAAGCTTCCTCCCATTTCTCTCACCGGTGTGCACTGCCCAGGTGGCCACACTCGCGGCTTCTCTGACCTTCCTCTTTGGACCTCCCTTCTCTTTCCCTTCTCTCTACTCGTCTCCAGGTTCCCCAGCCCCCTCCCCTTTCCTTGTGCTGAAGTGACTCTAGGGCTATTTTTTCAACTACTTATTTCCCTGCGGGGTGGGGGATCCATCCCTTGGCATTTGGAGGTATGAAGAAGGAGGAGAATGAAAGGAAAAAGAGGTCTTCTCATTGCTGCATCTGGAACCTTCTGCATGCCCCAGAGTGACAATGCACTGAGCATCTCCTCATGTCTCCTTGGTGGTGTGAGAGAGACCCTGAGGTAGGCAAGGGAAAAGTATAGCCCCTTGGATCACTACATGGGTCCAGTCACTACAGCTTACTCATACCCTAATACCCTGTTCCCCTCCTGAATCAGACACTCCTGCTTCTTCTAGGCCCCAGCTGGGCTCATTTTCCCCAGCGTCTCCGTGTACTATTTCTTTTATTTTCTTTTATTTCATCAATGCATGCTTGTAATTCATGCAGTTTACAACCATCTTGGGGAGTGATTACACATACATATTACAGCTTGGGTTTTTTTTTTTTTTTTTTCTGATGCACTTTCCCTTCCTTCCTCCTCCTCTTCTGACTCCCCAATCATCTTTTTCACGCCTGCTGATACTACTTGTCTTAGCACACGTTATGGCATATAATGCTTACAGTGATTTGGGTTATTAGGTTCCTGCTGGTGGCATATATCCGTCTTCTTCTCGTGTCCCCTTCCTGTGCTCTCTCCCCTTCCCCCCTTTGATCCCTTGGTCTGTTTCCCTATTGGACAAGACCTGTCTCCTTTTCTCTTTCTATCCATCTTTTATCATTTTCTTGATTTGTACTTTCCTTTACTCAAATGAAGGATACCACACAATATTCATCCTTGTTGGTCTGATTTACTTCACTCAACATTATGTTTTCCAGGTGCATCCATTTTCCTGCAGATGCCTCAAGTTTGTATTCTTTGTAGCTGAGTAGTATTCCAAACCTACAAGACTCTCTCTCTCTCTCTCTCTCTATATATATAT